CCAGAGAGTGTTATTAGGTGTCCGCCGCAGTTAGTAATATCCGGAGGTGAACTAATTTCATCGTCTTCGAATAGGTCCGTAATATAATTTTCCAATTCTTTAAGTTTGTTCTTTATTTGAAAAAATACTTTACCATGTTCATCATGTAGCATAGTAGAGTAAATAGACTGGCAAAAGGCTTCTAGAATAGATTTTGGTGGGCACTTTGTTGCTAAAATGTAAAACCTATTTTTTTTCGTTTCTAATATCTTTCTAATGCAAAATCACTTGGTCGTCCAAAAATCGTAGCGGGAGGGGAGTGGTGGGGAGCCTTACAAAAAAAAAGTGCTAATTTTTTTTTCGTCATTTTTCGGATCTACGATAACCGAAAATTCATTCCTCAAATTTTCATGTTGATCTGGACATTAGAAATATTTTTATTTTATTTATAAAAATACGTCAAACCATTGTTGTATACGGAGCGCCTTCATACAAAATCACTTGTTCTGAAAACCCATATTTTTAAAATCTTTTACCTCGCTCTACCTCGAAAAATATTGGGTTTAGCAAAAAATTACTTTCTATAAACATTATAGACCAAAAATCAGAGAACACGTGGGTTTTTTTTAGAATTTCGATTGGATAATTAGTTTAAGAAAAAATCAAATAAATCGAACGGCATGTCACGACTGACAGTGCTGAACGCGGAGATGCGAGGAAGGGCGAGATTCCTGTGCCGAAGTGCAAAGCAAATCGACTCTAGTGATGGCGATGTTGTTAGGGTCGATTTTACATTGAAACGCTGTTGTGTTGTATATTCTATTGCGAAAGTGCATCATTGTGCATTATTTTTTACTAATAGCGCGAAATCCACTGAGCTGAGATTTTTAATATTAAAAGTTTTAAATTATTAAAAGTTATTAATTAGCTTATTGCTATAATAAAAATATTAAATATCTACTTAATATTAAAGTAAATATTTTTTTTTATCTAGAAACGGATTTAACGAAAAGCAGCAGGTCTGACAGTGAACTTGAGTGAAAAATCAGATTAAGGCATGTTTTTTTTCCATAAAGTCCATTTCCTTTTCAGTTTGTTGAAGGACGCGGAAACTGGAGAATACATTTTTGTTCTAGTTTTCGAAAAATGCATCCTTACTTTTTTGCATTTGGCCATGTGAACTATTCTTTTTGGGGAACATTATATTTGTTGGACATATACAAATTTGCTGATAGGTATCCAGAATTTCATGAAGACTTTATTAGAGGAAATTTTGTTGTGAAAAGTTGGAACAGAAACTTTTACCAACTATGTATAGATATAGCTTTAAACACATAAATACAAACTCAAAAGATGCAGGAGGAATCGTGTGATTTACTAAAACCAGCACAAAACTAGACGAATGGTTTTTAAGCTACAATATGATTGGCATGATGGTAGATGAATTTCGTGCTTCATGAGACCTAAGCAACCACTCAAGTCAAAACGTAGAAAGTAGAAAAAAACGGATGAAAATTGATGAATATTCTGTACAAAAACTACATGATCAGTTTTTACGATTTAATGTATTTTTAAAAAGCGTAGATTGTCTTCTCGTAATTTCAGCTAATGAGATTGCATCGCCAAATGTTCAAACATCCTTATTAATATACAAAAAAAAAAAATGAAAAAGAGAGCCTAGCAAAATTTATTGTTACTGTTGAAACTCCCAATTTTTATCAGCATAGAAAAGAGAATAATCTTCCAAAACTTCGTCGCGCAGATACCTATAAAACTGTCTCTGAAAAGAAGAAAATTATTCAAGCTGAGCAAGAATTTTTACAAAAAATACTAGCAATCAAGGCAATTGAAAGAGACATAAATATTATGAGGATATTTTCAAATAGGAATTGACAGCATATCCAATGTCACTTGTACCAGCAGGAGTTTTATCGATACCATAAAATAAATCTGCCTTAGGTTCTATAATAGAACAGTTTACAGTTGTTACAAAATCACAAAACGTGTCACATTTTTGATGGTATGGGTTTGATTCAAGCCGTTGGCAAACCATCAAATGCCAAAACATTTGACGACTATGCAAGAATTTTGAAATCAATAGTGTTCAAGAACCCCTACAGCGTTAAAAGGATCGATTTTGTTTTGGATCACTACAAGGAATCTTCCATAAAAACTGCACGAGACAAAAGAGAGGCGCCAAAATTGAGTCAATACAACGGTTAATTGAAGGTCCGGATACAGTATTACCTCAAAAATGGAATTCATTTATTAATTGAGTTTTTAATAAAAACCAGCTTACACACTTCGTAAGCAATCAGCTAGTTAAATATTCCTTAACAAATTGTACCGGTCACTTCGTATCCAGCAGAGGATTTTGCGACGTTTTACATTACAAAACAAATTTTGGTTTGAATTCTGAAATATTAGTCTCATCACATAAAGAGGCCGATACCAGAATAATATTACACATTCTGTCAGCAAAAATGGAGGGATATACAAAATGTATAGTCGACTGTAAAGTTACCGATCTGCCCATTTTAAAGACCTTTCAACTCCAGAAGTTTTAGATGAGGGTTGGAACAAAGGACAACGAAAGATCTATAGGTATTCACGAACTCTCTATGGATTACTTTATAGGTATCTGCAGTTAAGCTACAATATGCCAATCATATTGTAGCTTAAAAACCATTCGTCTAGTTTTGTGCTGGTTTTAGTAAATCACACGATTCCTCCTGCATCTTTTGAGTTTGTATTTATGTGTTTAAAGCTATATCTACAAATAGTTGGTAAAAGTTTCTGTTCAAACTTTTCACAACAAAATTTCCTCTAATAAAGTCTTCATGAAATTCTGGATACTTATCAGCAAATTTGTACATGTCCAACAAATATAATGTTCCCCAAAAAGAATAGTTCACATGGCCAAATGCAAAGAAGTAAGGATGCATTTTTCGAAAACTAGAACAAAAATGTATTTAGCTAAAAACCATTCGTCTAGTTTTGTGCTGGTTTAGTAAATCACACGATTCCTCCTGCAATCTTTTGAGTTTGTATTTATGTGTTTAAAGCTATATCTATACATAGTTGGTAAAAGTTTCTGTTCAAACTTTTCACAACAAAATTTCCTCTAATAAAGTCTTCATGAATTTCTGGATACCTATCAGCAAATTTGTATATGTCCAACAAAATATAATGTTCCCCAAAAAGAATAGTTCACATGGCCAAATGCAAAGAAGTAAGGATGCATTTTTCGAAAACTAGAACAAAAATGTATTCTCCAGTTTCCGCGTCCTTCAACAAACTGAAAAGGAAATGGACTTTATGGAAAAAAAACATGCCTTAATCTGATTTTTGACTCAAGTTCACTGTCAGACCTGCTGCCTTTCGTTAAATCCGTTTCTAGATAAAAAAAATATTTACTTTAATATTAAGTAGATATTTAATATTTTTATTATAGCAATAAGCTAATTAATAACTTTTAATAATTTAAAACTTTTAATATTAAAAATCTCAGCTCAGTGGATTTCGCGCTATTAGTAAAAAATAATGCACAATGATGCACTTTCGCAATAGAATATACAACACAACAGCGTTTCAATGTAAAATCGACCCTAACAACATCGCCATCACTAGAGTCGATTTGCTTTGACTTCGGCACAGGAATCTCGCCCTTCCTCGCATCTCCGCGTTCAGCACTGTCAGTCGTGACATGCCGTTCGATTTATTTGATTTTTTCTTAAACTAATTATCCAATCGAAATTCTAAAAAAAACCCACATGTTCTCTGATTTTTGGTCTATAATGTTTATAGAAAGTAATTTTTTGCTAAACCCAATATTTTTCGAGGTAGAGCGAGGTAAAAGATTTTAAAAAATATGGGTTTTCAGAACAAGTGATTTTGTATGAAGGCGCTCCGTATACAATAATGGTTTGACGTTATTTTTATAAATAAAATAAAAATATTTCTAATGTCCGGATGTGTATGCAAATTTGTAAGGCTCCCCACCACCCCCCTCCCACTACGATTTTTGGACGACCAAGTGATTTTGCCTTACAAAGATATTAAAAACCAAAAAAAATGGTTTTTACATTTTAGCAATAAAGTTCCCACGGGATAACACAATAGGATCCTGTTTAAACTATACTAGCAGTGCTCTTATTGAAAATACCAGCCGCTTCTTTTACTTTTTTATTCATGTTAAATGTGTCGTATCTATTTTAGAGTTATTAAATTTCATGACACTGTTTGGCTAGATGTTGACTCTTTGTAAAAAAAAATTCCTTTTACAGATTTCCTTATGTTATAATTTTATTTAAGCCCTCATCGATATTTTCACCGATATTGATATTTTCTTAAACTAAATTTTCGTTCAGCTGGCTTTGAACCGTTTCCTTAACTTTCTCATCTTGTAGTTGGGTTATATCAATAGTCGCTAGGATACTAAATGCCCGATCGACAAAATATTGATCAGACCAATGTTATGAGCCGTGTGGAGCGCATGAAACCCTCTTAAAACTAACCAAAATTGCAATCCAACAAAACATGGTAGGAAAGCAATCAGAGAAACGACAAAAAACAAGATATATGGACCAAGTATAGAAAGATCTGATAACATTCGAAAGTAGACACTGTGCAAGGCAAGCGGGAAATATGAATGAACGGAAAGAACTAATTAAACAGGCCACGGGGAATCAGGACTGTGAGGCCAATAATAATGATAATGATTATATGTAATTGTACTTAATATTAATAGATTAATAATTTTAAGTTAATTTTATATTTATTTTTATTCTAAAAATTTTTAATGTGAAATTAATTAAAAATTACCTCTCAATTTTAAACCTTGCTGTACCTTTAAACCTTTAAACAACTGCAAGCTGTTATAGCACACGTGCACCTAAAGTTAATCTCCGCGAAGTTTACCTTGGGCTGCGCGCCAGTATACGTACAAATTTTAACTCATTTTTTTCCATAAACCAAATACATTTGAAAATTTCAACAAAAATTGTCAATTTTCTAATTTCATGAATGTATTAGCTTTATTTCTTGTTGCTACATTAAAGCACTTTTTGTTTCAGGATTACGGTGGCACATTAAAATGGACGAGTAAAGAACAAAGCTATATTTTAGCTTCGTTTTATTGGGCCTACATAATATCTCAAATAGTAGGTGGTTTGGCCACACAAAAATTGGGCACGAAGCGGGTCTTTGGATATGCCCAATTAGCAACGGCTCTCTGCAGTATTTGCATTCCATGGGCCAGTGAAACCCATTACGGCCTTGTGATTGGATTGAGATTCATACAAGGATTTGCTTCGGTAAGTTAAGTTGTTATCAATATAATTTGGAAAAAGAAAACAGCAGCTTAAATCTCAATTAAATGGAAATCAAAACCTTAATTTTACTTACTCCTTTATGGTTTTCGCCTTTCATTATTCTTTTTCATTACGCCTCAAAAGGAAACCCGTTTTATCATTTACTTAGTATCTATTTATACTTTCTGATTAGGTGTTTCACGATACTAATGTTTTTTATACATCTTCCTTGAATTTAATTATATCTTGTTGATTTGCATTACTTGTTTTGTCGATCCCGCATATGATTTTGGTTTTGGCACTTCTTTTAATTGGTAATAGTAAGCTTTTTTGAGTAAGTATAATATTGTTCAGATAAACTACATACTGCATAATGATTACTAATCTTATTTAATTTGCTTTTTGGCTCAATCTATAGGATATGCCTGGTTAGTAAATATGGTTCTTGGCCTAACACTTTTATAGGCCAAAGTTTAGGCAATGTTCTTATACTAGGTTCGCTATTCCCAGTCCAAACCCTCTAGTGAATTTAGTAATTATTTTTTTGCGAAGTTAGTTACTTTTTAACAGACTAAAAGTGGCTGGAAATTACTATACAACCAAGTACACGTACTTATAGCCAATATTAATAGTAAACAAACTAAATAGTAAATAAAATAGAACTTTGCGAATTACCGACAATCAATATTTATTTATCTGCACCATATAATAAATAGTTATGTTAAATTATAACAACAAAAATATATTTTTTAAATATATACTACCCAAAATTTTCTGGGTTTAGTATACACTTCCACTATTTAGAATTCTTCTTTTTTTCAAGGAAAGAAGTCTGCAATAGTAGTATATTTGAGCTATTAATACTGAGAAGTAGGAATTGTTGTGTTGTAGGTTTCCGGTAATGAATCTGTCAAAATATGCCCGAGCTAAGCGAATGGAGTATACTCGAATTTACGATGTAATGTAATGTATACAAGGTGACTGATTAGTGTGAGGAAGCTCAGTAGGTCTGTTATAGTAAAAATTTCCAAAAAAATTATTGACAAAAATTGTAGGCAGCTTTAACTCCACATTTTAAAATAAGTTACAATCTTACAGAGTGTTCCATAAGATGGTGGCAGACCAAACTTATGTTTTTTTTAAATGGAACACCCTGTATTTTATTTTAAATTTGAAATCTGCTTGACTTCCATATCACAACAATGTAAAGTTTTGTGTTATACCGGGTATCTAAAAAGTTATAACCAATATTACCTGAATATCGTATCAAACTTAACTCCCTGTATTGTTATCCCTGTTTAACCTAATTGATCTATTGCAACCATAGGTTTTTAATAACCGTTAAAAATTATAAAACATATTCGTTTTCATAATATTTATTAAATCAATCAAGTCAAAATGCAAGTATATTATTTTCTGTGTAATTTTAAATAGAACACCCTGTATTTTATATCACTATCGGAAAGTACTAATATCGTACTTCAAATTTTATGAAGTACTCCCTATAGCTAAAGTTATCAGTTTTCTAGATATTTTTATTTTTCCATCAAAGTATTAATTTGGTAGATATTTTAACGTTCACCAATCATTATTGTGAGTTGGCCATGATTGATTTATCAGAAACTGACAGTTTGACATTGTTGTTTATTAGTTCAGTAACGAAATAACGACACAGAAAAGAAAACAATGTATTTCAAATAAAATTTATAAAAAATAACCGACGGGAAATTAAAAAAAAAATAACAACACATAGAAAAATAAAAATCAACAGTAATTTAAACTTATCTTACTTAAGTAAGGTGTTCAAAATGACCTCCCAAAACATCTATGCATACTTGAAATCGATCATTGAAAGAGTTACTTACATTAGTAAGCATTTGTAAAGAAATATTTTGAAATGCAATTCGGATTCTATTTTTCATATCATCCCTTGTTGTTGGAGGTATTTTATATACATCGTTCTTAACGTAACTCCAAAAAAAAGGAGTCCATTTTATTGAATTCTGGTGACCTTGGGGGGCCACCTTACCGGTTCATCTCTTCCGATCCATCTTTCACCAAAGTGATCATTAAGTTCACCACGTACTAATTCGTTGTGGTGCGCAGGAGCACCGTCATGTAGAAACCACATTTGTTCACGTATATTAAGTGGAACCTCTTCTAATAATATCGGTAACTGATTTACGATAAAATCTAAATAAATCTCACCATTTAACTAAAAAAAAAATATGGTCCTACTTCACCATTACCGACGACACCTCCCCACACATTTAGAGACCATCGTGTTTGACTATGTGTTACTATGTGATATGGATTACTTGTTGAATAGTAGTGAAAATTATGCCTATTAACAGAACCGTTTCGATGGAATGCACCTTCATCACCAAATAGGACATAATCAAAAAAATATCTCTGCTCATTAATTTTTTCTAAGGCTCATTCACAAAATACTATTCTTTTCTGAAAATCATCATTATTTAATTCTTGGTGCTTTTGAATATGATAAGGGTGCATAGATAGAATGTTTAGAACAGAGTAGTAACTTAGTTCTTGTTCATTCGAACTACTATTTATACTTGTGTGTGGGTTTTCTGTAACTGCCATCAACACACTCATTTCGTTTTCCTCTGTCACACTAGTTTTTGTTCGTTCATGTTTTTCATAATTTACTGAATCAGTGCGGTTAAATCGACCTTTCAATTTTTCAAATGTATCTTGTCTAGGTTGCCGCCTATCTGGAAACCGTTCTTGATAAATTCTAGCTGATAGTAATGAATTTTGATTGCATTCCCCCATATCTAGATCATATCTACCATTTCATCAGTAGTAAATTTGCGGTGTACCCCAATGCTGAATTAATAAACAATAATATCAAACTGTCAGTTTCTGACAAATCAATCATGGCCAACTCACAATAATTATTGGTAAACGTTAAAATATCTAGAATCATAAATACAAATATCTAGAAAACTGGTAACTGTAGGTATAGGGAGTAGTATTGGTTATAACTTTTTAAATACCCGGTATAACGTAATAAAACTTTACATTGTTGTGATGTGGTAGTGAAGCAAATTTTAAATTTAAAATAAAATACAGAATGTTCCGTTTAAAAAAAACATTGGTTTGGTCTGCCATCATCTTATGGAACGTAAGATTGTAACTAATTTTAAAATGTGGAGTTTAAAGCTGCCTACAATTTTTGTCAATAACTTTTTTTTTGTAATTTTTACTATAACAGATCTACTGAGCTTGCTCACACTAATCAATCATTCTGTATATTTGTTCCATCCACTTGTTGTTCAAGATAACACCCACTCAATTTCTGCCATGATTGTTCGCACTACTATATATTAACTTGCATCTATCTCTATCATCTATCTGAGGACTAGCTTCTTTAGCTCCTTCCGTCCTCTGCGGGCTAGCCCTAGCTTATTTTTCGCAAGGGTCAGGCGAGGACGCAACTGCGTGTCGCTTACGGCAAACGACCTAGCCTCTAAACTGTTTTCATATTCCTTCCTTCTATGGTTTTAGCAAGGTTTTTACCACCGGATACCATTCCTAACGAAAACTCTTCTTCTTTATTGCGGGCTTAGGACCGGCACTGATAATTACTGAGCTGCTCAATCCACCCAGCCCCTACCAGAGGCAAAGTTTTTGTATTAAATCGTATCAGTGTGAATAACTGAATAATAAACTGAATTTAAATTTAGATAATTAATACTGAGAACTTAGATTTATAGAAAATTAAATCTATAATAATATAAAAATAATATTTTGGATAATTAAAATTATTCTAGTCCCTTTTTGTCCTTGAAATCTAAGTAACAAAACATCACCGGTTGTCTTGAATCTTCGTAAATTATCTGCTTACATGTATATGTAAATTCCATGCAATTTGACGATAAATAGGTGAAGACCTATTCAGGAAAATGCTTTACAAATCATTCAGAAAATTGAGATACGTACATTCGTGACGCAAATGTCCGCTGAGATTATATGCAGTCTAAATTTAAATTTACCTTTAACATTTCCAACATTTAGGAAAGCTTGAATTATTCATACAATTTTGATTCAGGAAACACGTATTTTCTAATAGGTATATATTTCTAAAGTAAGTTATTTTGATAACCAATAAAATCTTACGTAAGTAGAGCTCTTATTTGTCAATTACTATATATTCCTGAATAAGTTATAACAAATGTATTGTTAGATTCTTCAGTTGTTTATGAGTTTTTTATGTTAAAACATCTAATGCTGCGGGTTAGATTGCTCGAGTGGCGACCTCTCGCACGTAAAGGGTTGTCACGCACTTCTGACACCACGCCTCGACTCAGCGATCCTATTTCTTTACATTGAGCTCATATACACATAGTGTATGCACTTTTGTTGCTCACTTTGGAACAACAATTTATTTTAGAATAAACGTGCTTGACTATGACCACTTACGCAATTAGTTACAATAAATAATATGCATCAGAGCAAAATATGTTAAACTATTAGTTTTTATTGCCATGTATATATTATATTTTTATAGATTTGCTCATTTTAGGACATTGTAGTACATAGTTTCTTTCTTCAATCATGACCCCCCGAAGGTACTGTAGATATAATCGTGATGTGGTGTGTTGTCCAAGTCTAAAGATCTGTCTCTGGTATTTCTTTTTCCTTATGCATAGTTCTTTTACATATTCCTATAATTTGATGAATCCATCTTGTTGGGGATCTTCCTCGTGATCTTCGGTCTTCTACCTTTCCTTTTATATATAATAATTTATGTATTATAAGTCTTTTCATATCCAAAGTATTTTAATTGGTGGAGATGAACTTTGCTGGATAGACGTTTGCTGACTTTTAGCTCATTTATAATTTTACTTTACTTTTTCGAGTCTGGATCCGACTACAGTTTTTCTGCCCAATATCGGGCTACGTCTACAGCCTTTGTATTTGCGAGCCATAAATCATCGAGGGTGCACTGTGATGGGCAAAGTCTGCATACTCTCAGG